TTTTTTCTTTTTTTCTTGTAGAGTTTGATTGAGTTTTTTAAAAATTTAGGATTATTTAAAATTTTGGTATTTTTTTTTCGGCTCTGATTTTTTCGGCTTTTAAAACACTAAAAAATTGTGATATTTTTTTGATTTTTTTAGCTTTTTAAGAACTTCGTATTCTTGATTTTTTTCTACTAAGTCCAAGTTTTGCTTTATTCTCAAAAATTTTTTTACTAATTGCATGTTTTTTTTTTTATTAATTGTTGCCGCATGTCTTTTTTGTTGTTTTGTTAACTGCATGCTTTTTTGTTTATTCTACTTAATTCTTTTTTATTTTTTGATATCCTAACTTCTTATTACTGGATAATAATTTATATCACTTATAGTTACGAATCATTTTTCCCTATTTGGTTGTTTTCTAATATTTTTTGATTTTTTGCTTGTATTCTTGAATTTTTCTGCTAAGTGCATGCCTTTTATACTAACTGCATTTTTTTTTTGTTGTTGTTTTGCCAACTGCATGCTTTTTTGTTAATTCCATTTGGTCCTTTTGTGTTTGAAAAGTTTTTTTTTATTTTTTTGCTTACTTCACTTACTTTTCGCATTTGACAATACTTTACATATTTACAATTTAAACTGTTTCGTTTTTTATTTTGGATTGATTATAACCTACTGAATGCTTTGTGTTAACCTTACTGACTTTACCTATTATTGACGTATGCTTTTTAGTATGTTTACTAATTGCATGGTTTTTTGTTAACATTTCTTTTAGTTAAACTTATTATAATTTTGTGATTCTTTTACTACATTTTGTTTGCTTGTTACCTTGACTGCATGCATACTTTTTGACGCATGTTCTTTTTCTTAATCTGTTATTGATGCATGCTTTTGTTTATGTTTACTAATTCGTTAATTCCACTTATATTTTTGTATTACATGGCATTTTATATTGGTCCCATTTCGGATCTTTTTTCATTAATTTTGTTTTTGCACTCGTTTTTGTTATTCTTAGGTCATTACATGATTTTTATTAACTTTGCTCAGCAAACTTATGTTTGCTGTTAATGCATCATTTTTTTGTACATCTACTGATTGCATGTTTTATTCCTTAATTTAATTTATTCATGTTATTGTACAATATTTTATATCACATTTCATTTTTGAATCTCTTCTTATCATTTCGTTTTGCACATTTTCTCACAGACTTTTTGTTGTTTAAACCAACTGCATGCTTTTTGTTACTCGTTAGTGAATGCATTTTTTGTGGTTTTACTAATTGTTTTTTTTTTCCGTTAAATATTTTGGATTACTTGCTGTTTTGATTTTATAAGCAAGTCTGTGAGGAAATTTAGCTTCAGAAATTCCGGAAAAAGAAATTGTTATCGAAACTTTGAGTTTAAAGCTTTTTGAATTCTAGAATAAATTTCCGAAATTCTTGCTTCTCGATTTTCATTTTCCCTATTTTTTTGATTATTTCTTTCGAATTAGCAAAGTAATAGCACCTCATTTTTTTTTCCTTTTTTCTGAGTTTGATTTAGTGTTTTTAATTGATTATTTCATATGAATTGCTTGGGTGCTGATCATATACAGTGTGGTCATTTGACAGCTTAAATAATAAAATTAGCTATAATAATTAAGTTTTGAACAATATTTCAATAGCAAAATTAATAAAACTTTTAACTATTGTTGGTTCCAACTCATTTTTACAAAAAAATTTTTATTTCAAATTTCAATATTGATATTTATGAAAATTATACAATTTGTAAGAGTTTTTATATATTAAACTGGGAAAAAAATCCTAGTATTATCAAATTTCATTTTAATTAAGTGTTGAAACTATTAAAAACTGTCAACAGTGTCATAAAAATATTGTTCATTTAAAAAAATACATATTTTGAATTTTATTAATTATTTTGTCTGCATTGTACTTGATCTGCAATTATTATGTCATGGATATTTGATAGCATGTGCAAAATTACAAAATGTTTGCAAATAAATGTTTAATAATTTCACTATATGGACAGCTAAGAAATTTTGACAATTTCTAAAAGTTTTTGTAAATTTAATATCAAAAAATTTTTCAATTTTGCTAAATTCTGTTTTAATTGAGTGTACCTTAAAAGTTTTAACACTTAATTAAAATGAAATTTGGTAATACTACAATTTATTTCCTAGTCTAATATACAAAAAATTTTGCAAATTGTATGATTTTCAAAAAAATCAATATCTAAATTTGAAATAAAAATTAATTTTAATCGTTAGAATGATTGAAAGTTTTATTAATTTCGTTACTGAAATATTGCTCAAAACCTATTTGCCAAAGTTTATTTTATTATTTTGAGCTGTCAAATGATCACCCATATTACCAGTTCCCGTGCAATGCCATATGAAATAATCAATTAAGTTGAAAAAATATATTCTGTTAAATGAATTGGTATTTTTTAATGGTTTCGACACTTAATTAAAATGAAATTTGGTAATACTAGAAATTATTTCCTAGTCTAATATAGAAAAATTCTTGCAAATTGTATGATTTTCACAAAAATCAATATTTAGATTTGAGATAAAAATTAATTTTGATCGCAAAAATGAATTAAAACTGTGACTAATTACAAATTTTATTAATTTCACTATTGAAATATTGTTCAAAACTTAATTATTAAAGTATATTTTATTATTTTGAACTGTCAAATGACCACATCGTATATGACCAGTTCCCGTACAATGCATATAAACTCGTTTTGCTGTGAATTAATTATCCTTGATAATTAGTTACCTTTGCTTTTAGGACCAAAAATCTACCCTATCAGTCCAGTATTACCAAGTATTGCTATTTCTTTAGGCTTTCGCGCATAACTGCTGCCAAAATTTAACATTCTCTCCATTAAAAAAACAGAAAATTCCAGATTTCCATGATTACTATTTTGTGTTTAACAATTTAGATGTCGGTTACAACTTTTTTATTTTTAGATATCAGTGATATGCTATATCATAAAATAGTGAAAGAAAAAAAATGAAATTGCTTAGAGATATTTTGTGACGCTTTTCATGAGCAGAAGTAATTGTAATCATTTGTGGAATTAATTATATGATCTCTGTATTTTTTCATATGTTGTATCAATAAAAAGAAAGAAATAAAATTATTTTGGAAAACCTTCTTATTTCTTCAAGGAATTTTTAACATTCAAAGATTACATAACTAATTTTATAAGCGATTAAAAATGATAAAAATAAGATGCCCTAAAGGTATAAATTTAATTCTTAAAATTTTTGGTCAATTAGAATCTGACATTTATTTATCATACATTGTTATGATTACATGACAGTGCTGTATCATAAAAAAGAACGAATTATAGTTCCAACATTAAACACATCTTTAATCAATTATCCAAGTTACGCATAAGATAGAATAGCATATACAGTAACACGTCATGTAGTGTGCAGTTAAACGTGTACAATTAAAGTAATATCAGTTACCAAACGATTTTGCTTCGTCGTCAAATTTTAGGATAAATTACTCTGTCATATTGCTTTTAATGCTTGTGCAACTATTTTGTTGCATATTGCAAACGTCTCATTCAGATTTTAATCATTGTCAAAATGATATTTTCTAGTGTTTACAGAGTTTGCAAACATTCTGCACTGTAAATAAACAGACATTCAACATATAATTTTTTGGACCCAGTAAAATATACTAGTAAAAATGATAGCGATGTCTTAAATATTCAATGTCGGTTTACATTTTAAATTGTTTGAGAACTATTCATGGTACGAAGTGTATTATTCAAAAAGTGAACAGTTCCCTATTTCGGCTATGACATAATAAATTTATTGATAACACAAATATCATATGAAATTTAACAAATTAATTCATTTAAATTAAAGATAGGATATTCCTAATTTGGAAACTTTTTTAAATTGTATTACTTTGCTCTTTACTTTCTGTGAGTCAAACAGGAATCAGTGATGTTGCAAGGATAAAATGTGAAAATAGTAGGAAAATTTGATAAAATTACTTATGATTTATTTACTTTAAGATATTATTCGGAGACTTTTTTTTCAGCAATTTGTTTTTTCTTTTTTTGTAAATAATTACCCAACTATGTACTTTTTTTCTTGCTTTCACCCTATGATGACTACATCATTTGTCTATCACTCTCCTATATTATGCATGCACCTATGTAACTGATAAGAAGAGACTAGTCCAATGGTTAAATGAAAAATCAGAAAAACCTAACAACCTAACAACACGTGACCAAATGGGAGAGAAAACAATGTCAGAAAGTCATTCTGCCGTGTTTTTCATTATTGCGCGTTCTCCTGACTACCGTAACCGGTGCTATATATTGCAGCTTTGCTGCCAAAATGACATTAAAATTAGGTGATTAGATATGTGTGTGTTTGAGTATGTATGCTTGTTTACGTGTATGCGTATGTTAACGCGTGTGTATATGTGCGTATATATATATATACGCATGAGTGAAAAATATATATACATCTTTTAATAATATAAATTTATTTTGTCATTAGCTCATATATTAACCATTTTTTTTGCTAGCCAGTATTATATGAATGCTAATTGCACTTCCTTCTAATTAATTTATCAACTTTCCCTTCTGGAAGAGATATGAATTAAGTGGCGTTTTGAATACCTTCAGTAATTGCGGCAAATTGGGAAGACCTCTTTTTATTTGATGGATAATTTCCATCGAATGACAAATTTCATTTGGGAATAAATGGCCTAATTGGTTTATATGGGCAGTCATTGTGCAGCACGAATTGTTAGATGGTTTCCTAAATTTGGTCATTCTGAAATTTTCGGTTTAATTTTTCCATTCATATATTGTTTCATACAAGTAAATATGACATACATTGATAGTTAACTGTTTAGAACTCTCCGAGTTATCATGCCTTTTTAACCAAACTGTTTTCACCCATTATTGCTAGTGTTATTGCTGTGTATCATAATTTTATTCTCATATCGTAATTAAAATTTCAGGTCGCGTTTATTTGCGTTGATGGACTCGGATAGCGTACGATTAACAGACTCATCAATTAAGGTCTAATATTTTTCCTGGATTTTTTTAAAAGACAAGGTGTGCTCTTATCATTCCAGAAATGTGTGTCTTGCACAAAGCTACAAATATTAACTCACATATACAGTTAATTTTAAGAAATTATGAGCAGCCACATAGTTGTCTTTTAATTATCGTGTTACAGAATTAAACCAGAGCTGGTGGAACTGGTTTTTTATTCAGAATACACTAAGTAAAACCAATACAACTGTTGTATTGCTGAAAACACGATCGTGCTTTCTCTTTTAATCATTTGCTTTCGTTCTTCCTTTTCTCTTTTGACCAAAATAGAAACAAAACTTTTTAACCAAAATTCAGTAGTTGATTTTGCTTGATTTACAAATTTCAATTTCAGAAAAGTGAGAAGACGGCATCTGCAGGCACAAGTGCTGCGTCAAAAATGCGCATTTTGAATTCAAAAAGAGGCCGTGTGCGAATCATGAGTAAGCCATCGTTTAATCCTAAGACATTTTTTCTCCAAATTCTCAAGGGTAACCTTAACAATTTAGTCATATACATTCTGAACAAACGGATTTAATAGGTTGTTTAAATATGACTTATTCAGATAACTGATTTATAAGTAAAATTGGGAAACTGCCAATATTACAGATGAGCTGAAACCTTTCCTTCCATTATTGCCGGATATAGCTGATATGGAAATAAAAGAACAAAAACATCTTTTTCAACAGCTCTATTCCGCTGGAATAGCTGCCTCAGCCTCGCTACATAAGGTTGTTTTAAAAAAATTTCGGTAACTTTCTTTACAAAATATCCGTATGTTTTTAAATAGTCTGACAGATATCGTCGTAACTGGGACAATATGGTCATGAGGGCAGTTGTTTGTCCATTTTGCCGACTTTCATTGGATATAACGCGAAATAATATCCGAGCGAACCAAAATGACCCTTGACGGGTTTCTTCAGATATGTTGTTTTGCAATCGAAGACGCTACATGTAATTGGGAGATTCGGGGGCTAAGGCAATCTTAGCATATAAGTGTGCAGGTATGAGGTCATAATATAGGAATGATTGTTATGTTAGGACTGTGAACATGAGCTGCATGCCTTATCTCTTATCCATCTACGTTATCTACAACTGCGGATTGTGCAGTAGCTTTTGATTATGCCAGACATCCCGCACTTATTCTATGCGAAATCCTGATCGATTTTACCTTTTATTTGATCTCCAAAAAAAAAAAAAAATTTTTAATTTTGATTTCAATTTTTTGACAAAAATAGAAACAGTTTATCTGTATATATATATATATATATATATTTCTTTTCAGTGGTTAACAATGAGTGCTGCCCAACAATTTCCTCGATACTGTGCCAAATTTGGTGGTACAGCATGTATTGGTGGAATGAAGGATGATTTGTGTATTGATAGTACACAAGTTGAAAAAGCCTACGATATTGCAACGACAATTCAGAATACGCAGTTATCTCCGAGTCAGCAAATTCCATTCACCTCTGAAGATGCTGAGGTTGCCATTACAACTTTTCAGTTTATTTCATTGCTGTGAAAAATAGAGGAAGAGTGTTATATGGATGAATTGTTTAAATCGAAATATGACTGAACTGACATAATGGTGTAGTCAGCCTTCTTACTTCCCATTCCTCACTTTTTTTTTTGATTATATAGTTTTCAGGCATTAAAAACCCTTTCTCGTTCGGGCATACTGGACGATGCTGTCGAATCATTACGACAGTTTCCTTCATTGGAAGAAGACTTACTTGGTCTAAAAGAAGATTTAGCAGCTGCGAGCCTTATAACGCCTGATGTTCGTTTTTTTAAATACTTTTTCCCTTCGACATTCTTGAATATACCACTGCATTAGCGGCATATTTTCGTCAGTAAAAAATTTTAATGTGAACAAAATTTATTAGGGACGAAATTTTAATTTTAATAGTTACAAAACGATAGATTTGTTCATTTCTATAGTTAACTTGAACCCGCAAATTTTAGATTGCGGCTGCTGCTTTATCTGCCTTTGCTGCCGCTACGTTACGACGCCCTCCTACACGAACAATAGAAAGCTTAATGGCAAGTTCTCAGGATCCTGTAACTACTAATGGAGGCCCCGATTCTACGGATGATGAGTCGTTGGAGCTCAATCTCAGCGAGGATGAATCGGAAGATAATGGCGACATGCTGTTGAACCTTGCTGTCTCTGCTGGGGTAACGATTCTATTCACTCATTTCAAAGTCAAATCGTAATAGCTAGGACCAAACATACTTTTGTAATAAATATACTTTTATACTTTTCTGCAAAGTCCGAATACACAACTCATTCGTGTGAGATTATAATGTTAATTCCTTCAGTGTCAAAATGCATTTGAATGATTCTTTAATATTTTTTATCGGATTCTTTTTTTTTTTTTGCAGTACTTAGATCTGACTAAGGAACTAGTTGAAATTCGAGGAAATCCGAATTATGTTAGTATAAATAATGATCGTACACCGTTGATGGAAGCTTGTTGCGCAGGTATGTTGTCCGCATTTTTTGCATTTTGAAAGAAATATATGGATAAGGATTATGTTGTGTAGTAAGGATAAACGTTTCAGGACACAGTGATATCGTCAAGCATTTACTTGAGCATGGTGCTGACATGAATGCCATGAGTGCAACCAAGAACACTCCACTGATTTACGCATCAGCTGCTGGAAATGTAGAGGTGGTTTTTTCTTTTCTTTCCTTTTTTTTTTTTTTTTTTAGTTTGGCAAATAAACGAAGTTTAACTTTGACATCAACTGGTTTCACGGAGCCTTTGCGATGGAACAGTGTGCTATGTGTCATATTATGATACATACTATGATTTTTCGTTTTCGTTTAGTGTGCGAGCTTATTACTGGATTATGGTTGTGATATCACAATACGAAATGATAATGGACACTGTGCTCTCATGGAAGCGGCCAGTTCTGGTAAAGCTTTTGAATTTGTTTAATTAGTTATCTGATAAGCAGACGGATTGAAGTAAATGTGTAATAGATTTTGAAGACTTTTATTTTTTGTAATCATCATGTGACATACTTTACTATATTCCTTTGCATTCCCATGGTAGTTTTACACATTGAAATTTTGGGGAAGTTTATGAATGTAAGAAAAAATTTTGAGGTTATCTGGACGTTGTTTCCCTTCTTGTTCAACATGGATTTCAAGTGTTGCCATGTAATCAAAATGACTTGAAAGTTGGATTGGTGAGTGAAGTATACAACTCCTAAATCGAAATATTTAAAGAAAAAAATATACGGTTTAAAAAGTTTGGGACAAAAACATTTTGGATATAAATTTATTTTTCAATATGGGTTTATTACTTTGTTTTTTATACTGGATTCCGTAAGTAAACTTTTTTGATTCATTAATATGCAATCCTGTCGGTTTATTGCACTGCTTTTATTTTTCCATGTGAATCTCGTCAAGATGTTCCAAAGTGTGACAGGTTTACACGTAACGCTTTAAAACATGCGGAAAAAGCTGTTGTCATAGATTTACATGAGACAGAGTTTTACAATCGTGCGTTTCAGGAATCAGCTTTGACCTTGGCAGCTTACAAAGGTCACTATGATGTAGTTCAGTACTTACTGGAAAAAGGCGCCAATAAACATAAGGAAGAGCTACACACCGCTCTTATGGAAGCATCAATGGATGGACACTACGAAGTAGCAAAATTGCTTTTAGATAATGGTGCTCCAGTAAATTTAGCATCAGATTCATTTGAGAGCCCACTGACATTAGCTGCTTGCGGAGGACATCCTGATTTGGTTTGTGACTTCGTTCATAGTTTTTTTTGTAATGTTTTTGAATAAGTGTGGCTTACAAAGTAACTTTCTATTTTTTGTTCTCTTCCAAAATTCATGGTTGAGTTACAGTCTAATTTTGATAGTTAAGCAAGAATTCAGTTCGTTCCATTATACATTTCTAGGTACGACTCTTATTGGAAAGAGGTGCTATCGTGGAAGAAGTAAATGATGAAGGTTATACGCCTCTAATGGAAGCAAGTCGAGAAGGACATTTGGTATGTTTTATGTATATTTCGTACACATAGCTGGATGTTGAATGTATTTTTTTTAGGAAGTTGTTAGGTTGTTGATCAAATTCGGTGCAAAAGTCAATATACAAACTGATGAAACTGGTGAGACTGCTTTGACACTCGCGGCTTGTGGTGGCTTCAAGTAATTGCCTTTTTTTTTTCATTCATAGGTCATGGAAAGCAACTTTTCCGTATTTGCTTCTCTGTTGATGAAAAAGCTGTATCAACTTAAATCTTTGCTGTGTACAATATCACTAAATGTAGGAAAAATATCGTATTGTGGTTCACACTATGTATTATGCCTAATTTGCTTCATGAAAATATCTAAAGCAGTTTGATTTATCGCACCGGTCTGCTTGTCGACAAATCAATATGCCATTTTTCAGGGATGTTGTTGAATTGCTGGTGCGAAGTGATGCGCATTTGGATATCGGTGCAAATACACCGTTAATGGAAGCTGCTCAAGAGGGGCATCTTGATACAGTTAGATTCATCCTTAGTGAAATGTGTTCACTTGGTTTGCCAGTAAGCTTCTTGTTTTTTTATTAAAGTTTTAAAAAGTTCAAGTTTTAAATAAAAATTGTATATATTACCCAAATTTTCAATTAAGATCGATGCTACAACAACAGCAAATAGCAATACGGCATTAACTTATGCTGCAGAAAACGGTCATTTGGATGTGTGTGCTGCTTTAATTGAATTTGGCGCCAATATTGCAAGTCTTTTAAACTCTCTCTCCCTCTGGATCATTATCGATAAGTATCTTTAGCAGGAACTTCTTTTCACATCTTACAGAAACTGTTTTCTATATAAAATGTGAGGTGGATAGACATTTCACGGAGTAACGAGCCTTTGACAGTTTTCCCGTTGCTTCCATTATTTCCTTCTAGATTTCTGAGTTGTCATGATTTTCAAATAGTGATTGTCATTGTCAACATGAAATTTTTTTTTTACTCTAGCACTGCCATTAATTTTGTTCCAGAACTTTTAAAATTCTACTTTTCCTGTTTAGGATCATCAAGCAGAAAATGGGCGTACAGCCTTAATGAAAGCGGCGAAGAATGGGAATTACAGTGTAATCCAATTTCTCCTGATGAGAGGAGCTAAGGTTAAGTATGCTTAGCATTGAATTTCTGAACGACATTAAATCTTTGTAAATATGGGTAACGTAGAGGAAGGTTTAGCATATGGTCTTCTTTAATTTTTGACTTTCAAGGGGTTGGGACTTTAGAGTTGTTCTATTCATGCAAAAATATGTCCTTCTTATTGTAGATTATATAACGGAATAGAATTTCAAATAAAAATACATGTCATTACAGGTAAATGAGGTCTCTACAGACAATGATGCCAGTGCATTATTCCTAGCATGTGCTCATGGCCATTGGGAAATTGTACGATTATTGTTGGATCATGGAGCTGATCCATCTCATGTGTTTAAAGTTGGTTTAAGATGCAGCTCCTGAGAAAAAAAAGTGTCCTATTTAAAGGGTCATAAATTGTTAAACAATTTCTCACTCGTTTATTTTAAAGGATGGTGTGACATGTATGATCGAAGCATCACGAAATGGACACACGCGAGTAGCAGAAACACTTCTGAATTGGCATGATGCACCTATTGTGACACGTACACCTCTTCTAGGAAAACCACCAGCGCTACAAAATAGTCGTTTGAAAAAGGTATATATTTAAAACAAGCAACAGTAAAAATCAGGAATAGTAGGTGATGCTAATTCATTTATTCTCTTATTTATTAATGATATGTAATTTTCTGAAGAACTTATTGAATTTATATATGAAGTTTATGGTTTTTTTTTTAAATGTTTTTATGTTTTTCCTTTAGTTACAATGCTCACTGTACATTTTTACATTACCTGTGTTGATCCTAATTGTTGTTCATTGAGAAGTTTGAGGTTGCACGACGAACAGTGAACAAAAAGGCGACCACCATCATACAACCAAAAGTTGAATGTGCTGAGAAATCGATGAATAACATGGCTGTCGATATAGATGATAAGATGGGATATTCGGATGGAACTGCAGTATCAACATCAACGACTGCAATCACGACGGCAGGAATGCATTCTCAATGTACGCATGATTCTCAGCTCTTATCTGGGACGCATAATATACCAACAAATGCAAGCGTACCAGCTCATTTGCTTGCACATTATAATTATCAAAATGCGATAAATCCAGATGAATTGCGAGGTATGATTGCGGGAATGGCTGCCATGGCTGCGCAGTCTAATGCGGTTTGTTTACTTGTTTTTTATAAATTACAAATTAAGCATAAATAAGTGACGAAGTAGTATATTTTATAAATTGTTAGAACATGGAAATATTTTAAAAACATTTGCGAAGAAACCACATTCTTACGCAATATTATTCCATCTGCAGCACTTTCTTTGTACTTGTGTAAGCAGTTGTGCTACATAAAAACTATCCGTGCAGTAATAGAGAACTGCTTTTTGAACTGTTTATTGGAAATGCATAATACTTTGAATATTGTTTTGATGTTTAAATTTAGGTTTTTTAAACATATATTGTACTTTTTTTGTGCTTGCATAAGTTTTGGGATAATGCATCTCTGTTTGCACTGATTAGATGTAATAAGTATTATGATTGATCTTTTTTTTTCAGCTCCCTAATGATCATTTGTTCGCGCAGATAGCAGAAAAAGCATTACGTGGTACATTTGCAAACAGTGAGATTACTGGCGGCTTAGCAGATAAAAAGATGCATCAGCAGTTCAGTGAATTACTGAAGCAGCAATTCAGCATATTAGCAAATAGACAGAAAGATGCATTGGCTGGTTTAGGCAGTGCAAACTCTCTGCCAGATTCTGAGAATGGTGCGTTTTATTATTTAGATTTCAGCTATTAAAATCGGAAATAATTCTGGTGTTTTATTAAATTCATTGGTAGGCTAGCCAGCGAATGAATTAAAAGAAATGACTAAGCGCTGAATCGATTCAGTTACCCCATTGTTTGTTTTAACAAGATGATTGGGCTATCATTTTGTAGGAAAAGTGTAAGAGGTGAGAACTTATGAAGCGACGTGAATTCAGATTAAAATTAAAATGGAATGAAATTTAATTTATCGTTTGATTCTCTTATAATTTGGAAGAAAAGAGAAATATGAAACTGTCATGATTTTGGCGTTTTTTATTTTTTAAGATTATCCGCCATGCATACTTCTGCGTTACAAGCTGCAGTATTACCATTATATAAGAGTCATTTAATTTCACTTTTGCTTAATTTAAATTTCGAACTTATATAGGTGGCAGCACATCATATAGTCCTTCGGTGACTTCATCACCATCACCTCCAGTGATCGCTTGTTGTGAAACCACTGCGGCTCACGCAGCTGTAGTACATTCTCCCAATCTAGCTGCCGATACGAGGAGGAAGGGTAGTACATCAAACGTAAGTTTTTTGATGTTAGTTTTTTTTCTTGGTAATGGCAGATACCGACTTTATGAATACATCGGTCCGTATTGTTAGGTTGGTGCAAATTTATTACTTTTCCGGACCATAAATTTTAAATTGCAAATAGAGCTGGACATATTCTTATTAATCAAAAGAAAAACCATAACAATTGAGATGCTTTTGTCAGCGAGAAGTCTACTTATTTCTGTAGCTTAGAAACCCAAATTCTGAGACCTACTGAGCTCTTGGAAAGCTTTTTCCTGGAAAAGTTGTCGAGTTGCTTGAAGAAATGGTATTCTCGTGATGAAAGGTTAGATGGGTATAATGGATAAGGCGAAACTTTGTAAACTAATTCGTTCTACTTTTGAAACATGATGTCTGGTCTAGCATTCTCGTGATGAAGAATTGAACCTACTGCTCATTGCCGGCTAAAAGTTGCAGTTTTCGGCATATCACCGATTATGCTGCGCATACTTCGCAGATGTAGTTTTGCCGGAATTCAGGAAAAAGTGCTGTATCAGGAAGACCACGAAGCACCATAAATTTTTTTGACGCTATTTTTGCTTTGGGAAACGATTTGGGATGTCTTCTTCTGCTGTTGACATATTCTCGTTGGTTATCATATAGAATCCATTTTCGTTGTCACAATTCAATCGAGAAATGGTTTGTTATTGTTTCGTAAAATAAGAGAATACGACATTTCACGACGCTTTCATGGATTATCATTCAGTTTATGGAATCCATTCATTCAATTTTCTTAACCTTTCCAATTTCGTTGAAATGCTGATGACGACTGTAAAGCGGCCAATGTTAACTTCTAGAAAAAAGTGGATGTATCAGTTCTGATTATTCTCAACTGAATATTGTCAATTTCCGATGACTGCTCTACTTCATAGTTTATCTGCAAGGCTATTTTTTTCTTCTTTGAAAATATTCATGACTTCATTATCAATTTATGGGCTGAATGCTTTGTCGATGTTGCAACTTTGTGTTCTCAAAAAACCACGCGTATTTCTTACTCATATCGCTTTCTTAATCATAAATTAATATGTAGTAAACAGCGTGACATAAACGATTAGCATGAAAAAAAGCAAGAAATGATTATTAAAATGATGTATAAAATAAATGCATTTTCAATATAAACAACAAAGTGCTACCACATAAAAAACTGCCTTTTGCACCAATCTAATTATATCATATATAATTGCTTAACTCACCATTCGCTGCTTACAGGAAAGACAGAAAACCATTGTTGGACGTGGAACACAACAGAAGAAAGGTGGTAAAAACATTATTTTGTCAGATGGTGAACAAAGAGCTTGTCTGCCATCAGCATCTCTCAGATTCCCAGCACCACCACCACCAGTCATGAATGCAAATGTTCCACGTGGTCTGTTCTACTTTCATGCTGGTCATGAGCTCTAAATGATACAAGCAAAAGAGTGCACTTTAGAATCAAATTTTAATGATATACTGATGAATAGATGGAGGGAAAGAATGGTATCATGGATTGTAAATGGGTTTAGTAGATCTGGGCGATTTTGGCGCTGAGAGGAGGGGAAATCATTGGGCATATTCAATAATGATCATCGCAATCTAACTTCTGCTGGTGGATTGTCTCTTCGAAATTGCTTGTTCAGTGGTGTTACTTGTACATGCAGAACGGTGTTGTTTCATTGATGACTTATCTTTTAGGCATAATAATAATTCTTGAATACATTAGTTAAATTTACCCACCAGAGAATTTTTGACATTTGAATACTTTAAAATTATTAACTTATTACGTATGTAAGGTGTGATAATTCAATTTCTAATCCTAAGATTAAGGAAGCAATGCGTTAAGATTGATAGTATCCTTCTGTATAAAAATTCAGTTTTAGTAATCAGGCTTTTATGGAAGTGTATTATAAGTACAACTCTTTTTAACACTACCGTTTACAGAAAGTGTACCGTTATCACCATCGAAAGTTCAGCATTCACTGAGACAGCAGTCACCTCCGTTGGCGAAACAACTCATATCAGATCCAGCAATTGGGCGACAACGTTCGAAGCCCGTTCGTGAAGCAACCGGTGATGAGTCATCAATTGATAGGAACACATCAAGAAAGTATAATTTTGCATTGTCTTCTTTTTAAATCGTAGTGTTGAATTTTGATCAGCCGAAATTTCAATTTATGAAAGAATTCTGTGGGATATTTTTTAGCCGAGGTAGAACACTGAGTGAAAGCGCAATGCACGTTGGTGACGGACAACATGAAAGAACATATGATACAGATAGCGATGAAGAAATAAGTAAAAGAAGTGATCTTAAAAGTGGAGGTAAGTTTTTTTTTTTTTTTTTCTATAAAACTAAATCGGAACTAGTTGCAGTTGACTTTATAAATGCTTCATTTGTGTTAAACGACGTAATATTTATATATATGTAATTTATCGTATTTCCTACTGGCATCATATGTTGCACATTCTTTCTTCACTGAATTTACATAATGTTGCTTTTTTTTTTTTTTTTTTTTTTTTGCAGTAATATTAAAAATAAGATTGATCGGTTTTAGAAAGAACGTTTCCCGTTTATTTTGGATTTTAGCTTTTAAAATTATGAACACAAAGGTAGGAAATATATATTGGAAGAAATGATTTATTCTGTAGTTATTAATTACTGAAACATTCAGATTTTAATCATCTCCGCCATAAAAGAAAATAGAAGAATACGATTTCAGCTTAGTAATAGATCCCGTATTTTCAAATTTATGCTCACAGAAAATGGCAAAAAAAATGGTTGCATGTATCAGTCCAAGATTTTTTCTGATTACAAAATCAACACTTTTTTATGGTTGTAAGTTATTTCAGGTTCTCAGCCGTTTAATGTAGATATGCAAACTGAATCAAATCATGACACCGCTCTTACTCTAGCCGCCACAGGTGGGCATGATTCTCTCGTTGAACTCCTCATTACTCGAGGTGCTAACATTGAGCATAAAGATAAAAAGGTTGGTTTAATTTCCTCACATTACATCTTTCTTTGATTAAGTCACTTGTTGACAGAGATTATTTGAATTGTGGACATATTTTGTGATTTAGTCTACCATACAAATTCTCTAAATATTCTCTAAAAATATCGCTCGAAATAATTTTTCTGAAACATTCAGAGTGCATATATAAATGTAATTCTTCATAATATTGGAGATTTTATCAAAATATTTTGAAATATTTCACTCGTAAATCTGTACAGTTTTCTTTTGCCGAAGTAAAATTAAGAGCAACTTTGTGAGTTGTGTAGTTTAACACTACTTTTTCAGGGTTTTACGCCAATTATATTAGCTGCAACAGGTGGTCATGTAAACGTTGTTGAAATACTACTAAATCATGGTGCTAATATTGAAGCTCAGTCTGATCGTACGAAGGATACCGCCCTATCTCTCGCCTGTTCTGGTGGACGGAAAGAGGTGCCTGTTCCGCCATAAATTTTTAATAGTTCTAAATATATATGTATTAAAATATAAAATTTAAGTCGAAGCTAATCGAGATGAAACTAAGTGCTTTTTTTTTAAATTCGTTCTGGTTATTTTAGGTTGTTGAATTACTATTAAAACGTGGTGCTAACAAAGAACATCGTAATGTGAGTGACTATACGCCACTTTCATTAGCTGCTTCTGGAGGTTATGTTGATATCGTGAATTTGCTTCTAAATAATGGTGCAGAAATTAACTCCCGTACTGGCTCAAAGGTTTGTAGCAACAGATTTTTCTTCAGTTGAGGAATGTTTTGGACAATTTTTTTTTTCTTAATTAGTTAGAGTTAGAGCTTTTGGAACCTGGGAATGTCATCTATCTTTGTTTTTAGTATCATTGAAATTCATCTTTTTCATTCGTCTTCTTTCCCTGAAGATTTTTTGATATGGTTGTGACAAATCTATTTCAGACGGTTGCATCTCTGACGGTTCATATCAGCTTTTCTTACATTGTGAGATATAGGGAAGCTTGGAGATTGTAGAAGACTGATGCTTCTGTTTCTTGATGATAGGTGTTGTGTCTAATGTGTCTTTCATCACCTTGGATTATAAAAATGAAATTTCCTAATATACTTGAACATGAATTACGTGTCCTGAATTATCCAAGAATCCCTGGTGACATCGCCGATGAAGGTATAAATAATAAGTTGTTTTAGTTAGGCATATCACCGCTTATGTTAGCAGCAATGAATGGACACGCTGCGGCAACAAAAATATTACTTGAACGTGGTTCGGATATAAATTCGCATATTGAAACGAATCGTAATACTGCACTGACATTGGCATGTTTTCAAGGCCGTACCGATGTGGTACGGTTATTGCTTGAATACAATGCTAATGTTGAACATCGAGCAAAGGTTCGAATATTCACTTTTTGCTACGCTATGTAGCGCATTGTAAATGATAGAGATTGGTTGTTTAAGATTAGCTATTGTTGAATAGTTGTCTACACTTTTATCATAGAATTCAACCTGAGTAATGATTTGTTAACTTTTTATTTCAGACTGGACTTACACCACTAATGGAAGCAGCAAATGGAGGTTATGTGGATGTTGGAGAATTATTGTTAACTGCTGGAGCAGATCCAAATTCATCACCAGTTCCTAGCAGTCGTGATACCGCATTGACCATTGCAGCTGATAAAGGACATCATAAATTTGTTGAAATGCTGATTCATGCTCGCGCCGTGGTGTGTTCTTTTTTTGGGATATGAAATATTTTTCATCAAAATATTTTGCAGAAAATATATTTCCAAGCATACATGTGTAAATAAAATTTGGGTTTAAGTGGTATCTGGGTTCAAATAAAGTTTGGTATTCTTTTTGAATTTTTTCCATTTTTTTTTCTTTTTTTGTAGATTGATGTCAGAAATAAGAAAGGCTGTACAGCTTTATGGTTAGCGTGTCATGGAGGTCATCTAGAAACCGTTCAAACACTAGTAAAGCATGAGGCAGATGTTGATGTGCAGGACAATCGCCACGTTTCGCCACTAATTATTGCTTTCCGAAGAGGACACATAAAAGTAATTTTTCAGTTAATATTAAACTGGAGTTTTGGACGGTAGAATAATCATGAAATGAATAGGTAGTTTGACTTCTACAAGATTAGGCTTCTTGTCAACTATATGAAGTATTGTTGTTGTTCAGGTAGTGAAGTACATGGTACGACATGTGCAACAGTTCCCAAGTGATACGGATTGTTATCGTTTTATCGCTACAATTAACGAAAAGGTTTATTCTTTAATATTGTTTATGCTTTCTCTTCATAACCAGAAGTAACTGTTTAGTTTTAAATTGATAGGACAGTGTAAAAGTAGTGCATAGATTCTTTTAGCAGTAGTTACTGCTCGTTGGATAGAACCGTAAAATAACTTTCAGTGCATACTACCAAGTTTTCCATCATTTTTATTAGGCCATCAGCGTTTCGACTTACCTTCTGTACGCATGATATAAGTCAGATGGGTTCTGGCTTTCATATTCCGATATCTTCATGCAAATATATCTATAATAGTTACTTCTTGTAAAAGATGTAGGAGGGCGAACTTTTTTTTCTTTTCTGGAGTCAAGGTATTTGTATATTTCGTTCTGAAGTTTGTAATGATGGATAATTTCAGGAATTACTTACGAGATGCCACCTTTGTATGGATATCATTGTTGCAGCGAAAGATCGACAAGCTGCTGAAGCTAATCGTGCTGCAGAATCTCTTCTGGAAATTATAGCGAAGGAGGTGCTGTATTTGCCATTAGCTAAAAAAATATTTCCGGTGGTTAAGAAAATGCTTTCTGGAGTAGTTTCAATCATTGATCGATTTAACTAACTTTATCTTCAGGAAGAGCTGGCTAAATCTAAGAAACTTTCAAAGCAGCGACAAAACGAGAAGAAAAAGGCTAAGAGAAAAGCTAAGAAAAACCAGTTAGTCTTTTATGTATATTCGGAGGAATATTATTGATTTTGTTTCACTTTTTTTTTATGTTGTGCTATCTTATTATCATTTTTAGAGCTGATGGCAATACTGAACGGAAAGATTCGGATCATAAAGAAGATGCATCGATCAATAATGGTGAGGTATGATGATCAAATAATGTTTTGCAATTTTTATATCAGTTGAGTTGATAAAACGTGAGTCTTGTTCCATTACACTGCTTTGATTTTACAGTAATTGAAACTCAGAATTTATCCTGAAATCTTGTTTAGGAATCAGCTGATGAAGAAAATGGATCTGAAAAAACAAGCAGTGCTGCAACAGTCGACGAAAATAATACGCGGAATCGTGATTCGGAGCATGAGGTTTTTTTTTTTTAATGAAAGATTGAGATAGTTGAAGTCATTTTGTGATGTGCATATTCACATGTGGTTTCGTAGCTGCACGCCAAGCATGATTGCCCAGGCACGTGATTTTTGGAAGAGCTTATGCTGCTCATCAAACCGTTGATTTTTTAGCTATGAAATACTTGTGGTTTTAACATTTGTTTGTTTAGAGCCTATATATAGTGATATATAGTTTTCCCTTTTTGGAATTTTTTTTTTCTTTTTTCCCAGCCTTTTGGAATATATTTTATTATCCTTTGGCATTCTTTAGTTGTTACGACTCGGCATAATGAACTGTGCTGATCGTATTTCTTTTATTTGTATATTAATGTTGCAGTACTGTCCAACTGATCCACCGCGTGTGCCTGCATTATTATCAGACGAACACAGTGCCGACGAAACAGTTTTACTCCCCGAATGTTCACCCACAAAGCGCGTGATGGTATCGAGTACTCCTGTTGCAGGAAAGCCGTCACGACACAGAGTGCGCAAAGAAAGTGGTATACACTTTTGACATTGTTAAATTCTTAATTTGAATTGGAACCACCTGTAACTGACAAAATTTCAAGGGATCATTTCAGGCAAATCTGCTGCACCTGTGAAATCGCCTCCTCATAAAACGGGTAGTGGAAATACTTCAGATACTGAATGGATGAAAGCAACATCAAGAAGGAGTGCGGTAAGGCTGAATACTTGTACTATATACCAAAAATGTTTCTTCATACATATTTTAGAATTCATAAGTTTCAAAATTATAATGTCCTAGTCTTTTGAACTGTGTAATTTGGAATCTTTGCACATAAAAAACTACTTCATTATTTCCAGTTTTAAATATGGGATACTATGGAATATAGATTGATATGTTATTCGTTACTGAGTATTTTAGTTATTTCTAATTAAAATATGATTTGCTGAACAAACCATGGTGTCTATTTAAGTAAATAGGATGCTTGATTAGAATTGCATGTATCAACAGTGTGAACTTTAGCCTGACTGAAATAGACTGAAGTACACGTTGTGAGCCTTAGCGCGCTTTGGTATAAAATATTACGAAAACTTTAGTTATCATAATTCAACTTATACGCTTTATTCCTTCATCGTCATTATCGTTATTCTTTCAATGCTGGTGTGGTGTTGGGCCGATTAGTTCACTTATAAAAAAACTCATCAACATCTCGCATTCCAGCATTTGCATATTTTTCTTGTCATACATCCTGCAGGATAGATCTCTGAAGATAGTGGATTTTTTTTTTTTTTTTTTTTGTATGCTGCATTCAAGATTTTGGTAGTTCATCCATTCAGAAAAAATAACTTGAGTAATTTATATCAATAAGTTTACCCAACTTTTTGTAGCTGAAAGACTTTGAAGATTGTTCTTATTTTGCTATAAGTTACTTTTCTTGATATATGTATTAACAAATTTCTCATAGTTTGGCGTGAGGCATTGTTCTTTGTTACTCACTAGAGATCATTTGCATATTAGGAAAGTTGATTTGCTTAGCCTGTCTGACTCATTTTTGTTTCGGTTTTTCATTGAGGGTTTCTCATTGTTCTTTGAGTCATTGTCGCTGAGCGGTAGTATATTGCGATTACAGTTATCTCTCGGAGCTTATATTTCTTTCCTCTCCGTAACATTCCCACTAAATTAATTTTTCCTCATTATGAACAAGTTTGTCTAACACATTTTTAACTTCTGTAAGTTCATATAAAATATTTGAATTTGGATTATTTCCAGGGTAAAACAGTGATGTCAGGAAAAAGTGCTGCTTCTGGCACTACCTCAAAGGAAGACAGTGCAAGTAATACTGTGCCATGGCGGCATGTCGACTTGGTAAAGCATATCCACTTAGTAGAGGGAATAGAATTTTTCGAAAGCTTTAAAATTTGAAACTTTAAGAATAATGGAATAAGAGTAAGGAAACTCAACTCGGTGCTGAAGTGAATTATTTTAGAGCCGTCGACGTTCCACTCGCTTGTCTGTATCGTCAAACTCAATAGCCCGTGTCATTGGTCGTGCAGGAGGTAATATTAATGCAATTCGTGAAGCTACCGGAGCGTATATCGAAGTTGAGAAACAAACTGGAAAAAAAGAACAACATGATCGACAAATAACATTAAAGGGTTCCGATGTTGCGTTAAGGTATGTTCTCGTGGTTAACAACTAATACGTTCATCACAATTTCGATGATGTGTGGTATGATTCTATAGGCATCATTTCATGCTGATGTTTGCAATTCTGTACTCTGAAGGGAAGGCTTTTTAATTAGGCCTCCAAAAACGTTGCATGGAAAACAGAGGGTTCACCATTGAAAGATCTAATTTAAATAAGCCAAGTAAGTGTAATTCGCTTGTCCCGATTATTTATTTGTTATAAATGTAATATTTGTTCATGTTTATAAAAACATCATTTCCTAAAATTCCCCTTCTGCTTATACAGTTGGGATGCACTACATTTTAATGCGTCTTTGAAACAAGGCAAAAGACAAACAGTTTTTAGTATTTGTGTGTCTTTGATTTCGATTTTAACGTAGCACTGATGAAGCAGATAATGCGAATAGTAAAAATGACGGTTTTGGGAGTAGGGAGGCGACTATTTTTTGATTTGGTCGAATTTAGCATGCAGTTTTGTTGGCAATACAAGGAGAAGGCAAAGAACTAGTTTTTATTGCTGGTTTTTTAAAAGCAAATAAGTGCAAGTTAACTCTTTTTCAGACAAGCTGTTGATATGATACATGGTTTAATCGATGATAGTGAATGTAACGTGGAAGAAGTGATTCAGCGAGTAAGCAGTACCCATATTACCTCCATTTCTCAAAGTGAGGAAAATGCCAATCGAAGTAGTTCAGCGTTAACATTATCTGGCACTACACCTACGATGACAGTACCATTTACACAGAAAAAGTCTTACGCCATCGGTACTGCAGCATCACATACACCGCTAGAGGTATGCTAATTTTCTAGATTAATCTGAAAAACAGATTTTTTATCATAAAAAGAACAGACTTTTATCATAAAAGTTCCATTTCTCAAAAATTTTAAATATTTTTTTTTTGTCTTCAGATGTCGAATAATGGAGCAGCAGGCAAGAAAACTGCTCCTTATGTTGCTACAACAAATGTATGGGCACAGCGAGCTGCACAACGTCAAAGTCAGAAAGGTTAGCAACTCTGTTTCTTTTAGAGTTTTTAACGTAATCCGATCATGATTATCCTGAGTGTTATATATTACAGTAGTGAGCGCAATTGGTTCTGAAAAGAAGCAGAAAATGTCATCTGGTGCTACAGAACAGGAGAATTCGAATCCTAACCAGACAGCACAGACACCTGGAACAGTATATTCTACTCCGGAGATGCAGACTATAGACACTGCTGAGGTAAATGTTGAGCGTAGGATTATTTTTCTTGTTCAACTTTAATAATTGGCTTTTTTCTTCTATTTTTAGTTGGTCGTGTTTTAGTTAGTTTGTTCTGGATATTTAGGATGGAATGCAAAAACATGGAGTAAAAGAATTTTGTCGAGCTCCTGGACATGCAAGGCCAACTTCTGCATCTGCTTCAAGTCCTTCAGTATCACCAATTGGTACGTCATAGTGCTAATTTTCATTATCTTCAGAACAATTTTTTCAGTTGTGAGATTTGGATGACTATTTTATCGTGAAGTAAGAGAGGGAGAAGATGAAATTAGGCACGGATTAAGAACATGTTTGTTTATGTGAACTGTAAATTGCTGGGGTTAAACGAAATCATGAGCTTGAAATTTCAGTGTGAATAGAAATAAGCATATTTATTAATGTGTGGAAGTTCAGATGAGGGGCAGGATTTCGTAATTCAAAGTGGACCTTTGCGGTTTAAATTTTTCCTTAAAGGCTTGAAATCCCCGATTCATGTCGGACCTAGTAGCACTATGGTTACTCCTTCGACCGGCACGACTATTCCAACTACTACAGTCACTGATCCAAAGTCTAGAACGGAGTTATTTGAAGCGTTAGTTTTTGTTTTATTTCTTACAGAATCAGCGAAATTCATTTTTGTACAAAAAAGATGTCTAAAGGGTGATTTTTTTCAGCGCCTTTTGGTGCCCTCTATGATCGATTACTTAAGATTTGAGTTTGTTTTTTTGAAACTTATTTGGTCGGTAAATATTTTCTCGATTGTACACAATGAGATGCTCTAATTTTTTGCAGTGGGTCAAAAATTGAATTTCTCCAAAATATTCCAGCGAATGCTCCACTGCCTTCTTCACCAGGTAATCTCTTATTATTTTTATTCTGTAACTATTAAGCTTTGGGGTTGAACCAAATTTTTACAGACAATAGTACATTGCTATTTTTGATCCAGAGAGATGGGATTTTGTAGTCGTTAATTCAGAATGAAATTAAAAAACATGCTGTATCTGTATATTGTTTGTCTTATTCTGAAATTGCCTTAAAAAGGCGAAGATTCAGTAATACCTAAGCCATATGTTATTTTTAATTGAGATCTTTTCGAAACTAAATAAATTTAGATATCGCTGAGGGAAGTTTGCAACCACTTCTTGGCACAGCTAAATCGAATTTAGATGCACTGAAAACCAGCTCTATCGACGATAAACTGTTTTCGGTAGAAATTTTTGAAAATTTAAGTTACCGTAGTTCAGATAAAATAAATTAAACAATTTGCATCCCATTTGAATATCATTGGATCATTTGAAGAAAGTAATGCCTTTTTCGTATTCATGTATGAAAAGTTTTCAGTCATTGGATTCTACTCATCAAAGTATTATACCGTCTTCGATTGCCAACATTTGGGATGATAACATTGTTGATGACAAACCTTGGGCAGTTCCTGTGACTTTAGCACCAGTGCAATTGGAAGATTTTGCGAGAAATATCAATGTTCAGCTACCGACTTCAACGAAACCTGCTGGTGATTATCCAGATCCCAGTAGAACAGCTGATCACATGGTCGATTTGGCTAAAAATATCGCCAGTTTGCGGACATCCGTATGTTTTGACAAGAAAAAGCAACTTAAAAAATAGTTCGTCGTGCTCCAATAATTTGTTGTGCAAAATTTTCGCATTGATTTCACGTTCGATAATTTAGCTTAAGATGCTATAAAAACATTTATTTTTAATAGTAAATATTATCAGGAAAGTAGACCAGTCAATACGACTGGTAACGAGGCTGCGACTGGACGTATTTTCTTGGGTGAAAATATGCCGCCCTTCGATTTGAATGTTCCTTTTTCAAATCGTGATCCTGTTGATTGGGGTAATGCAGGACCTTTTCCAACAGATACATTTACACGTTGGAGAAATGCCCAATTAGATTCAACACCAATCACAGGATCTGCTCAAGAAATCGATAGTTCTTCCTGGATAGATCAAGCAAGTGTTTTCGTGTTCGAGAAAAATCTGCGGTTCACTCATCTTTTTACACCTTGATATTTGTTACAGTAATTCATTTACTTCGGAAAAAGAATTCATTTTCATTGTTATTCGGTGAGTTTAAGGTAGCAGCCCGTCTAGCATCTACTCGTCAGGAGCACCTACCGTTTCCAACGACTACTTATGCAATCTCGGGGAATTCAGGGCATCTTACGAGTTCTTTTGGAAGCGATGTAGCAAACGTTAATCTCGGTCATCAGCAGTCGACCCAGGCATGGAATCGCATGCACTTTCAGCAGGTCATTTTGACGAAATTCCACTTCTTTTAGATAGTTGTGAACTAAGTTATGATAGTTTATTTGAATCGTCAGCATCAACATATGTCAAGGCTATGTTCAGTTAGTTTAATTCTTGGAAATGTAATTGAGGAGAACAACATATCAGAGTATTTTATCCAAATAATATAAGTAAAAAAATTTTAGTTGTTGTTGTTCTTTTATAGATGTTCATGCTGTAACAGTTATAAATACGCTCATCACTACATCTATTCCAAACATGAACAATTGATTCGAGTCCGTGAAAAAAAATGTAACCTTCGTTTCATGTAGTCCTAATTAGCTAATATTTAGGCTGCACAAGCCGCTAGTAATGAATACGAAAATCTGACAAATCTTCTCAGTTCATATCGACCAACAGTTAGTTCACAGCACCAACCGGTACCTTCGCAGCAGCAACAACCACCTCAACCAGTTGTGCCAATGGGAAATATTAATTACAGTGCTGCACCTGCAGCTGTTGGGCCGGCTGGTTTTCGGATACCTGTACCACGTTCCCAGATTGCAAATACATCAGTTCCACCACCACCCTTCTTTAATTCTCAAATTCCGCCACCATCTTCTATGTCGCACCGCGGTGGGATATCAGTTACTCAGTCTTCACCGTTAGTTTATTTCCGTTTTCTCTAATGATTGTTAGTTGTTGTTTGTGATCCTTAAAAAATATCAAAAGCATCCATTCATTAGGAAGCTTTCTGGTCAAGGCTGATTTAATAGCCTTGTCATTTAATTATCGAGCTTAAAATTCCTATCGCTCACTCTTTATTTGGAAGTGAGCAGATGTAATTTTGTACATCTGGATTTACTTAATCATCCAAAGCTCAAATAGATGTTGTGATAGTTTGAACTGGATTAAGAGGATTAATCACCTTAGAAGTGGTTTTTTTTTTATTGCAGGAATGCGGCATGGTCATCAGTTCACTTTGGTGGTCAAGTACAGACAACTGTTACTGAAAATATACAATTTCCACAATATCCGAGTGCTGCACGTGGGAATTGGGGTTACAACTGGTAATGATTGTTTTTACCATCGCATTGTTATATTGGTAGCCTGCATCGTTCACTGCTTCAGTTTTAAAATTTCCTTTTGATTTTCAGAGCAGTATTTTTTTATTTTTTATTTTTTTGCAAATTTCGATTGAAGAAAATATTTGCAATGTTAGATATTCATGTATACACGTAGCTCTCCTTGCCTGTTTATTATTAAATGTAATTTTTGCTGGTTAATCACATTTCCGCTAACTTTTTAAGTCTGAATTTTTATTGATTTTGAAATTTATAACACAAAAACATTGATACTTCTCTTGAACGGCGTATTTTGGATATGAAATAATCCATCTAATGGATTGTTTCTTATCGTTTGTTAGTATTAACCATTATATTCGTTGATGCTACGCTTTATTTGATATCCCTTTTGTTTCGTCCCATTTGTCTTCTGGAATGTTTTATTAACTTCCTGGAAATTTCCGGTATGTTTTATTGACGTTTCTAGAAAACATTAAAACTTTGTTGCATATCCTTACATTTTGTATATTTTGTACCTTTTTTACTAAGCCTTCTTTCATTTCTACTTCTGCTGCTGCTTTTTTTTTTTCTCTCATCTCTCTCAAAATTATTCTACACTGAGTAGTGATAAGTATGATCAGCACCGTTTTTGACTTATAAGAACTATATGAAGTTTTCATTTTCCAAGTTCTTTTTTGTGTGCTCTGTTATATATGTTGTCAATATATTTTGAAATTATGTTCCAGGCCTTTTTATATCATATTCTATCTTATTTCCCATAAGTTTCAGTTTTCATTTTGACATACTGTTTCATTCAAATTTTATGTTTCTCAGTTTTTCTATGCTGCTCATCAAATTTCATCAACATAGAGAGCAAGAGTTTATTAGGCAACTTTGCTTTTTCTCTTTTTTTGACTTGCCGGTGAATTTTTTTCGAAGAAAAGGGAAAGAAGTCAAAGTTACCAAGAGCTTCTGACGGAGTGGGGACCCGTGATACGGGCACTAATCTTGTCATTGATAATCAGCTAGATCATGATGTGATGGATGATAATCTTCCCGGTTTTATTCTGTAGTATGCTAGATAATTTTTTTTTTTTTTTTTTTTTGGTTATATCCCATTGAATTATTGGACTACAGCCTTGCAAGATCTGCCCTACACTTTTTATGCGTGTGTTCGTTTTCTTCCTCAATTTGATCTTGTCAGTCTTTAAGTACATAAATTTTCAATTGTTGCTTCATTCCCTCATTTGTTTATTTAAAATCATTTCAAATTAGTCAACCAGAAAAAAGTGGAAAAGTGTTTGAGAGTTTGGTTAAGTTCGTAGTGACTAGTTAACTTTGTAAGAGCGGCTCATCCAGAACGTGGACATTCATTAGTTCAGGTTGTTGGAAGTTGCAGTAATCCTCGTTTGCTTTTTTTTTGCTGGAGACAAAATTGTTTGTAGAACTGGATTGGGTCGACTCCTTGCCGTGTACAGGATCCTGTTGGGTGGGTGTGACGATAGTGTTGTGTGCGTGATACGCGACGAGAATGGCGGCTATTAGCACGATTAAAACCAATTTTCATGTTCTGCAACACGAATGAGATCTGAAAATAGATTCCAGTGTTTGACCGGTCACTTTCAGGCACAATAAATTTATATTGCAAACTATGGTAGATGGTGTAGAAGAGGATTTTCTTAATTCTGAAAATGCATGAGTTAGTCGAGTTGTGTAAAAGTAATAAAAAAAGGTGCATCTCTCTTACCAGTGTGTGCCATGTGTTTGCCGTTCTGTGATCCTTGTCCTTACCCCAAAGTGAGACGGTTTGTCTCATGCAGTCATTAAATGTATCCCAATATCCTGGATCGAATCCACGTCCTTGCAGTGTTGTATGCCTTTCACCAAGTGCCTAGAATGAGGAATTTTCAATGAAATAACATTTGTAATTCCTTATGAAACTGATAATTGATAATTTGATGAATTTTCTCACTTCTTTATCTTATGCGTTATACTGGTGAAGTGTAAAATTTCATACTGTTTCTCAAAAATTCACACTTTCTTTTCTATCTAATCTTTATCCGTATTCCTGTTTGAATTAAGTTTACTTTATATAGTCGTTAAATATATTCAGTATTCCGGATTCAAATTACGTTATTATATTCTGATTCTATTCCAAATGTTCCTGAAAGCTACACATTTTAAAATTCATTTAAATTCCTAGAATTCTATGTCATTTATTGTCAAGCTGAAAGATACACACGATATTCTTTGATTTTTTTGCAAATATATAAGCAAACGAATAAGATACAATAGTAATAACAAAATACTAACCTGGAAATGTTGCTCCAACTTTTCCTTGTAAGCAACATTTTTAACAATATAGTCAAATGATTTTGTAAAAACAATAGCATGACGTCTAAAACGTGGATCATATTTTAAACGCCCTTCTGGAATTTTTTGTAAACCAAATAAATGCTTCATTTCTGGTCGTGCAGTTAGAATGCGACCAAATAATTGAATTCCAACTTGCTCTCTTGCATTGCTCTGAATTTCATCCATTTATTTTCACTTTTTTTTTAAAATGTTTTGTTAATTTAAAAAAGTCAATTGTGTCATTGCAGAATTTCTGTTCTCCATGTCTTCTTTAACATCTACTTTTTTCTCTCCTTACTAAAAAAAGTTATAAAGATCCTGAAGGTGATATCTAATTTAATTCTTAAGAACATATTGCACTTTTGAGTGCTTGACAAAATGAATTTTTTCACTTACAACTGTTTAGCTGTCATAAATTTAAGACTGACAATTTTTATTTCACACTATAGTATTTTAGTTTAATGAAATTAAAATTCTATTCGGAATCATTAATAATAACACATTAAAGATTCAAAAGACGATAAGGGATGATAAGTCTATAATCATCATTGATGTATCTATGATGTAGTATTTTATCTAATTATGAGAATTACAGATAAGAATTAAAGAGTGATAAAATTCATTTAAAATGAACAGTAACATGGTTACATTTTTTTCTTTTCTTTGCTTAATTTTTTTTTTTCCATAAGCTAATAAGAATGAAAAGTTTGATACCTTAGTAGCTCGCTTCCAACTATTTTCAATTGTTATTCGTTGACTTTTAGATAGCCATCCTTTAAGTTCTGTTTCTGTTTGTTCGACGGTAATTGATTGATCATCCATCGACAAATAATTAATATTTTGTGCCAATTCTTTTACTACGGTAGCAAATGTTGTTGAGCTACCATTGGTTAACGGATGTGGTGAATCGTTTGTTTGTTTGTCAGTATTCATTTCTTTTCACAACATTCTTTTTTTTTTTTAGCATTAATTCAATTTGTTGCAAACCAATAATCTCATTATAATATCCAACAGTTGCATGAAGAAATACTGAGGAAAATAGTATATTGCAGACTTATAACTTTTATCTGTTAAAGTCAGATTTCTGAAACTGATAATCAGTAGGAAGTTGAATGGAACATAGAATACATCAATGCTTTAAAATAATTAAATTCGCTTTATGCAATGAAATACGTTTAGATTAGTTGAAAAAAAAAAAAAAACGCCAATATGTAATAAGAAAAGAAGGCTAGAAAATCACGGTTCACTGTCGTAAATAAAATTTGTTAGAGTTATCTTAGATGCATAAGAATGTATTCAAAGTTTTATTAGTAATATAATTGAAAATGTCTTGAAGTGAAAAAATAAAAGAGAAAACAAGTTGGATTATTTTATACTACGTGAAAATTTTCCTATAAATTTCATTAATTTAAATCTTTGAAAGGGTAATATGTGATTTGTTATTAATTTATTCTACAAAATGATCCTTAATATTTGCATGATTTCATGTCTGTTAACGATATCTTTGAAGAATATGTTTGATTCAATACTAGAAATATAAATCATATTCCACTTAGATATATCAATGATAAATTTTAATAATAGAAACCATTAAATTATGAAGTTTATCTCTATGCTCTTCATTTTCAGGAAAAATAAATAAATAAGAGGAGACGAAAAAAAAGAAGCAAGCTTGTCAACTCAAAAGTGATTATCATAACAGCGGAAAATATTGAAAAGACAGCTTTTCCCTGAATAATTTCTTTTTTTTTTGGAACTGCTTTTTTATAAGAATACAATTCTGTCAAATGAATCCTTAACTGAAAATGCGTCAACATCAGGTTAATATTATTCCGGATTATTTTCTCTAATTCCTTAAGATTGTAGATAAAAACAATTAGTTACCTTCTATCTACTACTCCCACTACCTTAAAAATGAATAAAAACAAACAATTGCAGTACGTACTCATTTCAGTGCTTATAAAAAATATATCGTTGTTTTAAATTTACAAAAATATATCACGCCTTTTTTCTTCATTTTTTTCTCTTAAAATAAGCGAAAAAAACTTTTCTTTTCGAAATAAATGAAAAAATCCTATTAAACTTAGGAAAAAATTATATAAATTTCATGAAAATTTGCACTATTTTGGTTAAATTTATTCAAAATTTGTCTAATTTTCCATATTTTTTTTTTGTATTGCGCAAAATTATTTGCCAGAAATTTTAATAAATCACAAAATAGTGAAAAATATACAACCAATTAAATTTCATAATGAAAAAAAGAAATTTGGTTGGAAAGATGCATTATTATTCGAAGATGCTAGATTTTAAATAAATCTCACAAAGAGATTGATGATTAAATTCTCATTGGCAATGTATGCAATAACTAAATAGACACGAACATGCAAAAATTCCTTTCATTTAAATAGTTAAAAGTAACAAAATCTCATCAAACTGAGGAAAAAAAAAAAACGAAAGAAGAGAAATGAGCAAAATGAAAAGTTGTGAATGTGTCATACTTATCATAAAATTACAAATATCAATTTTGATGGAACAAATTGTTCTTACTTAAATATTATAAATGAGAATGAAAAAACTGGTTCAAAAAGAAAACAATTTTTCACGAACTTTCTCTATCATGAAAAATGTTTTTTCAATTTTTGCTGTTAAATCATG